CGTTAGATTAATTGATTAGAAAATAATCGTTGGTACAGCACTACTGTTTTGTAAATTTTAGCTTGTTTCTGCTGTTTTACCTTTTAACTGTTCTTGTATCCTGTATTTTGTTTGTAGCAACTGTTTTGCAAATTTTAGCTTTTATTTCCTGTTCTGATGGTTAAAGTTTTAAACAAATGCCCTAATAATTTAAGCATTTAGCTGTTTTGCTCATTTCATATTTGACCTAGTTCATTGAAATTTTTTATCTGCTGGATTAGGCTTTCAACTGCTGTCGTAATAATTTATCTTTTAGCCACTGTTTAGTTTTTAGCTGCTGCTAGGCTAATTTTAGCTTTTATCTACTGTTCAGCTGGTTAAAACTTTGATGTCCTAATAAATGTAGCTTTTAGATACTGTTTTCCAAATTTTTGTTTCTTATGCTAAGTTTAGCTTTTATTAAGTGTTTCGTTAGTTTAAATTTATATCTCCTAATACGTATTTTTAGCTTTTAGTTTCTGTTTTTAGTATTATTATTATTTAGCTTTGGTCTACTTTTCTGCTGATTTAGGTTTAACAACTTTAGCTTTTACCTCTCAGTTTTGCTAATAGGTAGCTTAAAGCTACTGTTTTTAGCTACAGTTTTATTTGTTTTAGCTTTTATCTAGAGTCCTGCCTGCTCATTTTAGCTACCGTGTTGCTTTTTAAAGTGCCAGTGACACGCCTGTCCTTCAAATACAAAAAGCCAAAGAAAAGATCTTCATATTCAGGGAAATTAGCATAAAACACACAATTTAATCCATTAGGTCACATAATTGGCATATTTTCCATTGAATTTGGCTCAGCTAAAGTGAAACAGGAAGTGACATCAAAGGGGAACTCTTTAAGAAATAAAACTCCCTGGTTTTGTTTATTAAAACAATATTATTTGAACTCTGACTCCCCTTCATAGAAACAGCTGTCTGTATTAGCTTTTGTAACAACGCTCTGTTTACATTCAGACATTCCCCTTTGACATCACTTCCTGTTACTTCACATGCAAATATCTCAACAACTGTTCATCTCAGTGGTGTGAAATTTGTTTTGCAACATGTTATCMATGTTATCTTTCCAAAAGTGCAATCACATTTATCACAAAAATTTTWTGTCTCAGGCACTTTAAGCTKAAGCTATYACACTATATTTACCTTTTACAGGAGCTRCTGTTGTGCTTATTTCAGCTTTCTCAGCATTCACACATTAAAAAAGTCATTTGAAAACTTCAGCCTTGATGTAAAACAGAGAAAATGCACTAAAACGAAACTCTTCTCTTGAACCATCACCATAAAGAAGATGATCGTTTTCAGAACACAGTGAGGTTAATTGTCGGTGACAGAACCCAGAGGCTCCTGGATGACTTCATTTGAACCTTAAGCAGCAAAAACTGGGACGAACTGTGTTTTCAAATCCAGCTGATCCAATCCAAGCTGAGSAGCAGAGCTGCAGAGCCAGCGGTGAAAAGAAATAAACTCTGAATTACCCACCCAACAACATAAACAACAACAAAGATGTCATGGTGAACTATTATAATTTAAGGAACACACTGTTCTTCATCTCCTCAGCTCCTGTCAGGACATAAATCTGTTGTTTCTTCTTCATATTTATTAATTATGAAACGGCTCCAGCTGCAGCTCTAATTAAACTCTCAATCAACCAATCAATGTTCGGACACGCGGATGATGTTTGATCTTCAGCTGCGCGCGCTGACGACAAACTGYTCCTATGACTGAATATGGCTGCAGAGCCTTTTCTCTCCTCTCGTCCGAACCTGTTACATAAAGATTCTCACACGTGATCCGTTTGTTATGGTCAGAGCCTGAGTCTACCCGTGCAAGAAGAAAATAAATAATAAATAATAAAAACAAATAAAAGCAGGTGTGCAAAATGAAACCGATTTGAGTTAAAAACGAAACAAAAACAAGCACGCAGCGAGCAGAAATCTGCACGCATAAAAAAAAAAAAAAACAAGAAAGCAAGTAATTAAAAAATAATCACCTGGTGACGTAATCCTCCAGCTCCTTGTCGATTTCAAATCATAGTTTTCCTGGTCCAGGAGGAGCCTTCGGGTGTCTTTCCTCCCCCGCTGCCTGAGCTCCGCTCCGGTCGGGTCTGCTGAAAAGCTCCGGTCCGTCCCGAACCCCTCCGAGATGCTGAAGAGAAACCAGACCGCTGATTGGCTGCTGCCGATTTGTTGTCCTCTCGTCTTCCTTTCTTCTTGTTGTTGTTGTTGTTGTTGTTGTGAGCAGTGATGGAGCTGTGGAGCGTCTCGTTGGTGTTTTCAGGAGGCGGAGAGGAAGGATGTTAAAGGGATAGTTCAGAYCTTTAGAAGGAAGGTTCCAGTGACGGAGCTAGACTTTAATGTGGGGGTGGGCGGGGTGGCCCAGGCTTTTAAAGGTGGCCACATGCAAACCTGGTACCTAAAGAACAYGCATGCTTGACAATTGTTTTAATCTATATGCATTTATTCATTCATCTTTCTCTCACAAAAAAGAGCAATAAAACAATGTTA